TCAGAGAGCTGGACAGTGACTAAGGATAACAGAAGGAGAATTGATGCCTTTGAGCTGTGGTGTTGGAGAAGGGTGTTGAATATACCATGGACTGCTAGGAGGACAAAGAAGTTAATCTTGGAGAGGGTGAAGCCAGGCTGCTCTATGGAGGCAAGAATTCTGAAGCTTCGTCTGACATACTTTGGACATATTACAAGGAAGGACCTGTCCCTGGAGAGGGCATCAGGTTTGGGATAGTGGAGGGACAGCACAGGAGACGAAGATCCTTGATAAGACAGATCAATTCAGTGATTTGAGTAATGGGATTAGGTGTGTCGGGGAAAGTGGGGTTGGCACAGGATGGGCAAGTTTTAGGGCTCTTGTACATAGGGTTACTATGAGTCGCAAGCGACTTGACGGCACATAACAACAACAAACTTATAGTAATTCTATTTATTGTATTATATATTACATATAATACATATTATATAATGTCTATCTGTGTTTCATTGATTATGCAAAGACATTTGACTGTGTGGATCATAACAAACTGTGGCTGACTCTGAGAAGAATGGGAATCCCAGAACACTTGATCGTGCTAATGAGAAACCTATACTTGGACCAAGAGGCAGTAGTCAGAACAGAGCAGGGTAACACCGCATGGTTCAAAATTGGGAAGGGTGTACGCCAGGGATGTGTCCTATCTCCATACCTTTTCAACCTGTATGCAGAGCAGATTATCAGAGAGGCTGGGCTCTATGAGGAGAAGTGTGGTGTCAGGATTGGTGGACTATCTATCAACATTCTGCGTTATGCAGATGACACAACCCTGCTTGCTGAAACTGAGGACCTGAAACGCTTGCTGCAGAGGGTCAAGGACTGCAGCCTTCAGTATGGATTGAGACTCAATGTCAAGAAGACAAGGATTCTCACCACTAGACCAATTGGCAGCATCAGGATGGATGGTAAAGAGATTGAGATTGTTCACAACTTTAGTCTGCTTGGCTCCACATTCAACACTCTTGGCACCAGTGGCCAGGAAATAAAAAACATATTGCAATGGGAAAGTCTGCTGTTAGGGACCTCTCCAAAGTACTGAAGAGCAATGGTGTTACTCTGGAGGCTAAGGTGTGTCTGATACAGGCTATGGCCTTTGCAATCACTTAAGCATCAGAGAATTGGACAATGACTAGGGAGGATAGAAGGAGAATTGATGCCTTTGAGCTGTGGAGCTGGAGAAGAGTATTGAATGTACCATGGACTGCCAAGAAAACAAATAGCTTCATCCTGGAGAGGGTTAAACCAGGCTGCTCCTTGGAGGCAAGGATTCTGGGGCTTCATCTGACATACTTTGGACATGTTGTAAGGAGGGACAGGTCCTTGGAGAGGGACATCATGCTTGGGAGGGTGGAGGGACAGCACAAGAGGGGAAGACCCTCTATGAGTGGATTGATTCAGTGACTGGGGTAATCAGGATGGGTGTGTCAGAGGCAGTGCAATTGGCACAGGATAGAACAGGGTTTAGGGCTGTTGTACATAGGGTCGCTACGAGTTGCAAGCGACTCGACGGCACATAACAATAACAACAACAATATATTATATGTATTATATATTATATTTATTACATGTGTGTATGCATGCATATACACACAGCCTTGGTACATCTAAGTTCTATTTCAACTGGTTGCATTGATTGATCCTAATCTTTTTGTTTCTCTGGAGCCTTGGTGGATTGGCAAGGGCATAGTAGTGGGCCTTTAGATAAGATATTCCAATATTAAATTCATATGAATAAAACTGAACACTAGCCTTTAACAATGAGGGGGCAATAAGCCCGTTTGAGGGGAAAAATGAGCTCTGTGAGAGAAGATAATTTTGCCTGCTTTATTCATTGATGGATCCCAGTCTCTAGGATAATCCTTGAACATGTGAAGCCCAAGGGATATTTGCTGTGTGAATTAAGTAAAGATAGCCTCTTTGCAATTTGGATTTCCTGTTTCCTGTCAGCTTCTACATCTGTGAGTGTGGTGCAGTGCAGACCGAGCTTCCTCCCTCATTGGCTGTGCTCCAATTTACTGGGCTTTGCGTGTGTACAGGTTGGGGCCTGTGTCACAAAAGAGTCCTGCACTGTGTCTGGGTATATGCTGGAAGCAATATTCATTCTTCTTATACCAAAAGACTACTTCTACAATCTGAGAACCTTCATCGAATTGCTCAGGCCATCTTCCAAGTCCAGAAACTGCGAGTGCAATTGGTTCAAACAAGCAGTTGAATCCAACACACAGAGTTCACCCAAATAATGCAGCTGTATCCCAGCACTCAGCACACGGTCTACAACAGGGCAATCAATTAATAAATAAATATCTGCCAATGAAGGAATCAATGACAAACTGAAAATTGTTACTGTTCCCCATGTTCAGCTCAAACTCAATCTTCAAGTATATCTTAAAGACCATATTATCTGGCTCCTTGAGAACATTTTTCAAGCAGAATAGTTTCAGATTTTGCTCCTGATGGTCATAATCAGGCAAAGAGGAGCTGCTCTGCCCCTGAGAATACAGAATAAGGGGGCGGCCCTCAAGAGTCCATCTTCTGGATAGCACTGCCTTTCCAGTGGTTGTCTAGGCCTTTGTTATGCTAGAATGTCAGACGGGGTGCAGGGCAATCCCCCAGGCCCAGGGCCTGAGACTCTAGTAAGAAGATTTCTAGCTGCCTCAACAGGTATCAGGTTTCGTTTGCAAATTTCTACTCATGGTGTGAGGAGACATCTAGCTACAGAGGTTTGGGGCGTACACCTTGAAACTAATTTTCATTCTAAGACTTGTTCACTATGATGACTTTATCGAGGCTCTGAAATGGGCTCAGCCCCACTTGCATCTCTATTCCTCACATCTGCACTAAGACCTGGACCACTTCCACCCTTGGTATGCCCACAACCCTCCCACTTCTGCCACCTGGGAGACCAGGGTGCTCAGTCTATGTGCTGAACACTCTCCTCTAAACTCTGTGTGCTCTTATGCTTTAAGTGAGAGACTGAGGCCAGTGACCAGATTTGTCTATTTCTGCTTTATTAGAACATAGTATATGACAAAATAAATATTAATTTATAAGTTTTTAGTCATTTAATAAATAACATTAAGTTAACAAATATTTTAGAGAGTGTTAAATAAGATAAAAGCATTCATTTGCTTTGCCTGGGACAATTAGCAAGACAAAACTTGAAAGATTCTGTTTTCTGAAATGCATTTCAGTTATTTTATGCTCTCTGTCTCTATGGTACAAGATGCTTAAAATACTCTTTTTTGCCTCTGGAGCTTAATTACATTGAAAATTAAGGCTCTCATTTTTCTTACAATAAAAACCCTTTTGTCTTTCTCTGAGATCTTGTGCTTCAATGTCAGTTTAATCTCAGCTTTCTATTATCCAGTTGGTGTTTACTACGCGAAGAAACTCTTGCAGGTAGTCTAGGAAGTTCTTTACTCTCCGTCTTTCTCCTCCACATTTATTCTGTGAAAAAAACCCAGACAATAGGTATTGTAGGAAACTGTCAATACTTGTGAAAATGCCCACGGCCAGATAAATATATTTTTCATTAAACATGTTGAGCTTACTTTTTGGATGTCGATGTATTCCTTGAGTAAAGATAAGTTTATAAATAGTTTTTCTACAGCATCATCTTGTACAGTTTGATTTTTCAGCGCGTCTATTCCCTGGAAGATTTCTTCAATGCATAGTTGGTGCTACAGTAGGAAGATGTTTAAAAATGAGAACAGTGAGGACAAGGGATGTAAATTTGATTTACAAGGTTAGACTTTGTGTTATGGTGTTGGAATGAGCTCCAGTCTCCAAGGAGTCTTACACTTGCTCCTTTCCCAAGTGGTAAGCCATTATGTCATACTGAAACATAAATTTCTGAAAGCAGATGAAATTAATTTAACTTCTGGGAAATTTAATAAATTATAGAAATGAACTATGCAACCAGAAAGGAAATGTAATTCATCGAACACATTACCAGTTGAACTCATGTCAATATTTTCTTTTTCTAGTTCTAGGTAGTAATTTTCATCGATTTAGATTAGTAACATCTCATTTTACTTAATATGATCATAATAAACTCCATTTGTATACAATTCCATTATACAGCCATAATTGCTTAAATATATAGAAATAACTATTAAGGTAGAGCATTTACTATGTGTTTTAAAGTCTACTGTCCATTCTTTTTAAAATGTAAATCCTTTCTGTGAATACTTGAATGAACAATACATGAACACTTCAGGACAGAGAATTGATAACATTGACCATCCATTTGTTATCAAATCCTTCCTAATAATTATACACATTCATAACCACAAGCATAAAAACAAAAAAAGAAAATACATGTTTTCCATGATTACTGATGCTTTACAGATTTAATCATGCAATCAATCACTTTACTGAATTATAATTTAACTTACATTTTTATGCACAGGAGTGAGAATCTTCAGAGTCTGAAAATAAAAGGAAATACAGTTATTTTGAAAACACTTTAGTATTAATAAATTTTCAAATAATGCTGCCTGGTGATGTGGTTAACTGTATATTATTATCCCTCTCATAACTTCATTACTAATGCCAGACCTTCAGATTTGGTAAATATACCACAACAAATAATCACCTATGCATTTCAGACACTAGGAATCAAAAAGAAAATTACCCCATTGCTCATCAGTAGAGTTCGATGAGTTGACAGCAGCGTCAGTGTCTCTGCCACCAGTCTATGCATGGGAGTTTCTATGGCAAAGGCAGAGGCATAGCCAGCTCCAAGAGCGAGCAAACTCAAGTGCAAAAACATCCTCATGGGTCTGAAATGTTCAGCGTTGGCCTTTGGCAAAGAAAGTGCATAGCACAAGGTTACATCCCCAGCAAATTTATTCTCTCCTTTTGAGGAAATGAATAATTTCTAACAATCAGATAGAGACTGCCTAATAATGCCATATCAGGAAACTAAATGTTTCCAGTGTCTTAACCCACTGAAAACCCACTGCCATCCAGGGGATCCCGACTGATAGCAACCCTCTATGACAGAGCAGAACTTGTACCTTAAAAACGAACTTGTTTTATCTCTCAATAATACCAAAAATCCCTGTTTCTCCCCTAATATGTTTTTCTGTTACAAAAGAAAACCTTTAGTTGATACATCCTTGCCCAACATTTACATTTCTTAAAAGTCAGAAGACTGAATTCCCTTTTAAAATGTGAAATATAGTGTAAACCAGTAGATGGGATTTTATGCTAGAATACATGCATATTGGGAATGTTTTCCCAGGGTGACCAGTTATAGTTAAATTGACTAGGAAGATTTAAAAGGAATTGGAATTAGGGCCAGAGCGCACCAAAATGTTCTGAGGTCAGGTTATATCCATGAGAGTCTCAGTTAGGGTCAGTCTGTTTGTTATCAGTGATCAAAAATGTAAACCAAACTGGTCCAAACCCAACAAGGAATCATATAACCAAACAGGCCAGGGCAAAGGCTCCTTTTTATATCCTCTTGCCTAAGGGACTCTTCCTGGCGTTCATTCTCAAGCAGCTTTTCCACTATGGTTGAGGAGAATATTAATACCCACAGACACATAGATGACCTGCTCAGAAGCAGCAGGGTTAAATCATATTCTTTTGCTCATCAAGTCTTAAAATTCAATCTCCTTGTGGCAAAAGGCATATGTTCATCCCTGAATTACTGCCCAGGTTTGGGAATGTGCTGACTGGTGTCCCTTGAAGCCGGAAGGAAGCTCCACATCATCCAAACTGCATCCCTAAGTAGAGATATGAGATCATTGGTGGCTCAGTGATAGATCTTACCTTCCATCCAGGAGGAGATCAGGATTTGATTCCTGACCCAGACTCCTTACATGTTATATGTGTCTCTCCTCTCACCTTAATCATTTGTTAGTACAGTCTGTCATGTTTGATGATAAACAGGTTTCTGTGAAGTTTCCAAACTAAGAGTAGGAAGAAAGGCCTGGCGATCTACTTCCAAAAATCAGCCAAAGGAAAAAACTCTATGAATCACAATACTATGCGCCTGTTGTGCACGTGTGGCGTAAGTAACCATGGCTCTGTCGCAGCTAACAACAGGATGGTTGTAAAAGAGACATGGATGCTGAGATAGCAATCAAGAAACGTCTGTCACAGTCACACAAAATGTGGCCCTGGCCTTTGCATCCTGCCTGAGCGAGGGTATCCTTGGGTGGACCGTGTATGAGTGGATGTAATCAGGGAAATCTTGGGTGGGCCGTGTGTGAGTGGGTGTAATCAGGGAAATGGACACTTCAGTTCTTTAGACTCAGATCTATAAGCCCAGAAATAAGAAGATGTGGCTCTCTTCTAAACCACATATTTCTTTTCCCCAGTCTGAGCACACATCCAGGAGGTACAAGCTATCGTTTTTAAGTGACAATTCCCTCTGTATTAGAGCTCAGAAGTCTGACTTTAGGACTACCTTGAACAATTGAAATTCATGGTGTCAAAACCAAATGTTACCCTGATCCCTTTACCAACATGGAATGGCATTCTTTATGAGAAGCAGAGGCAGCAGGGTCGTAGACTCCCAAATCTGTACAGGATGGCAGTAATGGAGGACTCAGCTGGAGCCTCCAAGCATCAAGTCTGGTTTTGTTTGTGCTGACACTTTGGCTTTAGTGCTATAGGCCTGATTTGAACATTAATATGATGCTTTCTTTGAAACTGTAGGGGAGATATTGGCCCACTTCATTGAATCTATTAAGAATGAGGTAGGAATTAAAAATTATTAGGATCAAAGTACTCTTCAAATGACGCTCACAGAACCGAAGCTGGGTTCTGACAGAATCCTCTTTCCCCTGAGGTTTTTGTCAGAACCACCTCTCCAGTTCCCCTGTTTCCTTCAGTCTACACCAAGAAAATGTGGGCTTAGATGAATGTTTCAAGGGAATTGTCAAATGATTTGTTATGCTGTTGCTCTTATTGTTGTTATGTGCCGTGAAGTCGCCTGTGACTCATAGTGACCCTATGTCCAACATCTCTGAAGCCTGTACTGAACCAGTCTCACTAACTCCAACACACCAACCCCCATTACCCTAGATACTGTATCAGCCCATCTCATCTGGGGCCTTCCTCTCCTGCGCTGTCCCTCCACCCTTCCGAGCATGATTTCCTTCTCCAAGGATTGGTCCCTCTTGGCAACATGTCCAAAATATGTGAGGTGGCGCTTCAAAATCCTAGCCCCTAAGGAGCAACTTGGTTTCACCTTCTCCAAAACAGACTTATTTGTTTTTTTGGCAGTCCACGGTATATGCAAGATTCTTCTCCAGCACCATAACTCAAAGGCATCAATTCTTCTATTCTCCTTTGAAGGATTGGCCATCCACTTCCTAAATATTATAGGTCTCCAAAAATCCTGCTGTCACGTCAGTACCTTAAATATATAATATTCTGAGTATTAAAATGGTGTTATAAGGCTGCATAGGCAACCTAGGAGGTAGAAGATTGAAACAACTGTCCTAGCCTTGCTAAGCAGGAGAAAACTCCCCAACCGCATGCTGTTTTTAGATGAGTCATACTGAACTCAAGCTGACTATAAAAATAGGCAAGGTGTCACACAACAAAGGTGATGGGGCTTCTGATAAGCAGCAACATTCGTGACCTGTCTGAAGGTGGCAGATCCTTAAACAATCTTGGTTTTCTGTTGTCAAACTGTCCAATTTTTCAAAGAAGCCAGATATCTTGATTATTCTGTGCTATTGCTTGGTTTTTATATGTTTGTTACTCCTGTTGCAAGAGCTATTTAGGCTGCCAGTTTGCAACCATCAATTTACAGTTTAATTGGGGATCCTTGCTGGAGGCCTGGTTTCTTTTACTGTGGTAGCCTGCAGATTGCTGTGATGTTGGAAGTTATGCCAGTGGTGTTTCAAATATCAGATGGGGGACAGGTTTCAGCAAAGCTTCCATACTAAGATAGACTAAGAAGGACCTGCTGATCTACACTTCTGAAAAAAATGCATTCTGTTGAAACCTTATGAAGAAGTACACTTACCTGGCAGGGGAGACACCCAGATCATGAAGGTGGTTTTCTTAGGGTGAGGCTTGGCCATTGCACTCGGATGTGCCAACTCCTGCAATTTCCTCAAATGTGGGAAACTCAGCTGCATAATTTGTAGTAGTGGGGGGGCAGCTCGCTCACTGCAATCAATTGAAAGTCAACCCTTGCCACAAAGGTTTGAAAATTTTTTAAAAAAGATATCTTGTGAAGAGCAGCAGAACACTGTCTGATATAATGCCAGGGGATGAATTCCTCAGGCTGAAAGACACTCAAACTATGGCTGGGTAACAGCTGTCTCCTCAAAGTCAAGTCAACCTTAATGATGTGGATGAAATAAAGCTTTAGGGACCTTAACTTGCTGGAGTTGCATAGCTCAAAATGAGAAGAAATAGTGCAAACAGTCATTAATAATTAAGACATAGAATGTACAAAGTATGAATCTAGAAAAACTGGAAATCATAAAAAAATTCCTTAGAATGCATAAGGATTTTAGGCATAATGGAGTGAAATAAACCTGCATTGTTAATTTTGAGTTAGACAATCTTCTTTATAAAGAAGAATGTGGCATCAGGAAGACTCATCAACAACCTGAGTTATGCAGTTGGCATAACCTTTGCTTGCTTAAAGTGAGGGAAACTTGAAACACTTTCTGCAGAAGATCAGGAACTACAGTCTTCAGCATGGATTACATATAAACATCAAGAAAACAAAAATACTCACCTCTGAGCCAATAGCCAACATCATTATAGATGGGGAAAATATTGAAGCTATCAATGATTTAATCTGGTATAGATCCACAATCAACACCGTTGGTAGCAGCACTCAAAAAATCAAAAGCTGTATTGCATTGGGAAAATCTGCTGTCAAGAACTTCTCTATGGTGTTAAGGAGCAATGCTGTCTGTCAGTTTAAAGATCATGGTATATTTGATCCAAGCCATGGTCTTTTCAATTATTTGCTATGAATCTGGTAGTTGGACAAGAATAATAGAAGAAGAATCAATGCCTTTGAGTTGTGGTATTGTAAAGAATACCAGATACTCCATGGACTGCCAAAAGAATAAACAAGCATCTCTTGAAAACAGTGCAACCAAGGTGCTCCTTAGAGGCAAGGGTGATGAAACTTTGTGTCACATACTTTGGGCATGTTATTTGAAAGGGCCAGTCCTTTGGTGGAGCTTCTAGTTTTAAACAGATTTGGAAGCAGGAGTGACATCCACTTTATAAACAACATACCTCTGGAAACTCTATGAACTTTGAGAGATGATAGGTATAGAAAGGCTTCAGGTCTTCTGTTCGTAGGGTCGCTATGAGTCATGCGTAACTCGGTGGCAATCAACAACAGCAACAGTCCTGTGAAAAAGACATCATGCTTGGGTGGTAGGTGAGCAAAAGGTAGGAAGATCCTCAACAAGATGCACTGACATAGTGACTATAACAACAGACTAAAGTTTATAGAGATGATGAGGATGGCACAGGATAGGGCATAGGATGGGTTCAGATTCATTGTTCATAGGGTTGCTATGAACTGTAGTAGACTAATGGCACCAAATAACAACAATATACTGGGAATGATAAATTGAAGAGGAATGTCATAGTACTCACTGCCAACAAAGCACATGTCAAGATCTATCCTGAAATACAGTACTGTCAGAGATAGGATAATAGCCATACCCATAGGAAATTTGTTAATAATACTATTTATTAGGCAAACTTTTCACCAAACAATGAGAACAATCATCTTTCATCAAAGATGAAGATACTGAAGATTTTTACCAACTT